GTCAACCATCTACATGTATTTACATATAATAAACATATCACATGTTCAAATCATACTTTGCATCTCTAATCCACATCGCCCTGTAAGCTCCTCCCTATGTCACTTATTAACTCACTCTATCTACACTTATCCATATAAGAGTATCATCTCTATATTACTTATTAACTCACTCTACCTACACTTATCCGTATAAGAGTATCATCCCTATGTCACTTATTAACTCACTCTATTTACACTTATCCGTATATGAGTATCATCTCTATATCATTTGTTTACTTACTCTACCTACACTTATCCGTATAAGAGTATCATCTCTATATCACTTATCTACTCACTCTACCTACACTTATCCGTATAAGAGTATCATCCCTATGTCACTTATTAACTCACTCTACCTACACTTATCCATATAAGAGTATCATCCCTATGTCACTTATTAACTCGCTCTACCAACACGTATCCATATAAGAGTTTCATCCGTATATCACTTGTTAACTCACTCTACCTACATTTATCCATATAAGAGTATCATCTCTATATCACTTATTTACTCACTCTACCTACACTTATCCGTATAAGAGTATCATCTTTATATCATTTGTTTACTTACTCTACCTACACTTATCCGTATATGAGTATCATCTCTATATCACTTACTAACTCACTCTACCTACACTTATCCATATAAGAGTATCATCCCGAGCGCGTTGACATCGCTTGGGTCTTCTGGGAGTGTTTCCATGGGAACGATGGCCATTCACGGTATGTTCAGGCGAGCGTATGTATACTTGTGTACATCTCATATGACTATGTTATCAATTGCATGTACATATAGAGCGTATGTAGACTTATGTACATATCGTATGACTGTTATCCAATACATATAAATATAGAGCATATGTAGGCTTATGTACATATCACGTGACTATGTTACCAAATACATATAAATATAGAGCGTATGTAGACTTATGTACATATCAAATGACTATGTTATCAAATACATATAAATATAGAGCGTATGTGGACCTATGTACCTATCATATGCCTATGTTCCAAATACATATACACATTCGAGTGTATGTAAAGCTACGTAGGCCCTATCTAGGTACCTATCATATATGTATGTTTTCATCTCTGCAGATACCTGTGTGCATAGATAGAGATGCTCAAAACCCTAGATACATTTGTACTGAGACAATCCATATAAAGTGGTTGTGTACGTATGGTTTCCAAAAACCCTAAACCCTAGAATCCGATTGGCGGGTTAGAAAAGTATATCATGAAAGTATTGCGATTTCGGTTTAGGGTTTTTACAACCCTGGAACCCAACTTGTTTTCTCTGTGGTAAAGTAGTCAGTTGTGTTCTATCTGTGTGGGTGGTATGGCCATTCCTTTGTCATATAACTTGTACTCTCATTCTTTCTCACTCCTTTGTTCGTAGATAATACATACACACACAAGAGAAGATAA